CCAACACCAGTGATGGTCACTCACTTCCAGATTAGGTTATGCAGCACACTGAGGCTTCCTTTGAGTGGTCTCGCTCTTTTAGACCTAGACTCTGGGGGGAAGCCAGCAGCCATGACGTGGGGACACTCAGCAGCCTACGGAGAGGCCCACAGTGGAGGAACTGAGGCCTCCAGCCAACAGCTGGTGAGAACCTGAGATGTGCCAGCAACGTGAGAGAATTCAGATGACCAGCTGACAGCTCTGATCCTCAGAAGCTACAACACCATGGAGGCAAGAGTCAGGTGGAGGGTAAGACAGCCTAAGGTCAGGGGGACACCTTGCGGGAGCCACGACTTCATGGGAGGGAGTGATTTCCTTGGGCTGTGGACTCTCACTGTCGCTGCCCTTTGAAATCACCACAATCCACCCCGGGGCTGTGCTTGCTGTCCGCCAAGCACTGTGCTAAACCTGTATCACCTCCATCTGACACACTGTGTGCTGGAAACTGAGACACAACAAGGTACACAGAGGGGAGCAGGGACAGCCAAGGTCACCTGGTGGTAGAACCACCACTTACAATCCTTCAACTGCTCTGGTCCTGCAGCCTTCGGAGGCTCCCCTCACAACAAATGGTTGCAGGAGCTGACTTAAGGGAAGTGATTCCTCGTCTCACGAGGCCACAACCAGGGTAACTGTCACCGACTGGGCAAATGGTCCCTACACTTCCATGATTCTCAAAGCAAACTGGGGATGAGCATCAGGTGAAAACATCAGCGCCTAATGCCAGAACTGTAGGAAAGAGTGAAAGGAGGGAGGGCTGCCACCCTCAGTCCCCACCCAGGCAGACCAGCCACGGCAGGAGCTCTCAGGTCTGATATTAAAATGGCTAGGAAGTGACACAGCCAAGGCTGAATGGCCGAAGGGCTGCATGGAACTGTGACCGGGAAGACTGATAAGCCTGCAAGAGTAAAGGCCCCTGCAGGGCCTCAGCAAGGGTGCAGGCTGGTCCCAGGAGCCGGGGTGAGGGGAAGGCCTGACACCTTGCCTGCTGACCCTTGAGATGCCACCTCAGTGCCCCCTCCCTGGAAAGCTGGTCTGTCAGCTGCCCCTGCCAGTAGGCTGTCATTCCTAAGGGCATCCTGGGTTTTAGAAGGAACCAGGACTCTGGCTGACAGAGCCCTCTGTCCTTTGTAATTCACAAGCCCACCCATGAGCTTTATCCCGCTCCTTGCTGGCTGCTTCCATCTGTCTTACCCTAGGGGGCCTACGCAGGAATGCTCCCCACCACAGATGTGCTCAGGGACAGCTCATAGGCCTGTGAGATCTCTGATAAGCCAAGGTCAAGACCCCTCCCCTCTCCTGAATCCCTATCTATCTATTCATCAAGTTTACATGTAAACATATCACTATTAGTGCTGGCTCCCTCTCTCCTAGCCACACACCCCTATGAGGGGACTGCCATCATCATGTCCCTTTTTGGATGGGAGAAAGGTCACGAAAGTGGTGGGCACTCCATCAGGTCATGCCCCCTGCCCTCCAGGGCCCCCAAGATGTGTTTCTCAAGGATCACCAGGCTGGAGGTCACCCTGGCCACCTTCCCTCCCCCACCCACACTCTCCACACAAGGAGTAGGACTTGTTGCTGGCTGGTAGCAGGGGCCTGGGCCCAGCTCTGGCCTTGCTGTCTAGGAGATGGGCTGGGACTTACCTGGGCCCAGGGAAGTCACGCTGGGGGTGGCCTCTGCCCTGTGTGGCCGGGGGTGCCCAGGGTCTTTGGAAGGGTCTGGACTGGAGGCCGACGCTGAGGGAGGGCAGGGGATGATAGCCGTGGTGGCAGCTGGCACCGGGCGAGGCTTGTTGTGAGTGTCACTGGGCCGCTGGAGAGTGTCAGCGGGCACAGGGTCAGGAACCGTGGGAGCCCCAGCCCCAGGGAAGAAGTTTTCTCGGCTGTCCTTGGGGTGCTTTGGGGTGGTGGGTGTGTCCCCTGCGGCCTGTGACGACAAAGAGGAGGTGAGGATGGTGGGCACCCCACCTCCTAACCCTGGGGACCCACAGCACCTCCCTGGGAAGACGTCCGGCCCTGCTGGTAGGGACTCAACGGAGACCCTGGGGCTGGCCAGGGCCTCCACCAGACCTCACCCTCCAATTCCTGGGTGCCATCCTGGGAAGACATGACCCCAGGCAGGGGTCATTGAGCCTCTTGTGGGGCCATCCCTAGGGAGCTAGGGTGACACCAAGAGTCAGCTCCCTGAGTTCAAGACCGCAGTCCCAAAGAGGCAGTGCCGGATAGTCCAGCTTTGGCCACCCCAGAAGCTCTCACCTAGGCCTTCTGTTCTCAGGGGAGCAGGGCCCGCTGGGGCCTCTCCATCTTCTTCCACACAGTTCTCTCTGCCACCAGGGCCCTTCTACTTTGCACCCAAAGCCTCCGCTCCCAGAACAGTGTGAAGGCTGAAGCTCACTGAGGGTGTGCTGCAGGGTGTGAGCCATCCTCCCAGCCCTAGACCCCTAGCCTCAGGCCACACCAGGGCTGCAAATGTGGTCTCACACCTGCTGGGGGCACCATGGTGCTGGGGGTCAGCTGGCTCCCTGCCATAACTCTGCTTCTTTTGACATTTGTTCTGCTTGAAACGTCCTGTCCCTAGTTTCAAGGAGCACAGGACAGCCCCTGTGATTCTGCTGTGTGATATGTATTGGGTTGAACCTGAGCCTCCAGTCGGGGGGCGGGTGGAAGGTGGGGAGAGGACAGGAAGATGTGCTGTGTCTGTCCTTGCAGGAGCCAGCCTCAGCCACAGTGACAGCACTGAGCCTCTCTAATTATGTCCAGAGCACTCTCCAGGTGTGCGCTAGGCTGCCATGGCAACTGGGACTGGCCTCTAGCCAAATGGATCCTGGGGCAAGGGGCGGAGGCAGCAGGCTCAGGGCTCGGGCTGCCCCCTCCAGCACTGGCCAGAGGCGCCCAGGCCCCACTTGGGTGCTGGTCCTCAATCTCCTCATCTAAAGGACCCTTCCCTGCCCGTGGCTCCTGCTAGCTCAGGATCTCCTTTTGCCACAAGACAGGGAAGGCAGGCGTTTGGAGGTTTTCTGGGGGGTTCTATCATTTTGAGGGCCTTAAAGACTGCATCAGAAACAGCCACTCTGTCTGGAGTGGTCACTGCATACCTGACCTCATCTGGGTCAGCAGAGGAGGCAGGAGGGGACCCCTGGGCTCAGGCCCTGCACTGGGGTCCTGAGCAGTTACTCCTGTCCCATGTAGCAGAGGTTGCGGTTAGGGCCACGCAAGCCACAGAAACCACAGCGGCTATGATGTGAATCCTGGCTACTTTGGCAATAATGGGGTGGTAGAACCTGGGGCATGTCTCCCCCGGGATTCTGGCCCTCAGCCGGGGGAACAGGCCCACGTGTGTGGCCCACAGACTGCCTGGTCAAGACTGAACTTCTGGACTTCCTCAGACCAAGAGTCCAGGCAGGAAGGGTAGCATGCTGCCCCATTTCACTGAGAGGAAGCTCTGGACACTGACAGCATCTACAAGCCTGCTGCTAGGTGACCTATAGATGGATGCCCACTGCCCTGAACTCCTGCCTTGGGACTCCCTGTGATGTACTTCCCTGGGGGAAATGCCAAGAGAGGGCTGCGTGTGGGCAAGGATGGGAGGGCAAGGTCTGCTCACTTGTGCTGCTGGGGAAGGGGCAGTTGGGCCACCCCTGGGGGGACAAGAGGCCACACCTATTCAAATGACAAGTTCCTGCCCTTTGACCCAATGACCCAGGCCCAGGGGTCACTCCTGCAGAAATGCCCACATGTGGTGCAGGAAGATGCCCCTCTGGTACTGTTGAGCAGGAGCACTGCAGTGCCCCCCAGCCTTATCCCCCCTCTTTCTCTGCCAGCCAGACTCCCCCTGTGGGCTTTCTCTTGAGCTAGGTCTCTCCCAAGGAGATCCTTCTCCCTCACCCCCTCCTCAGTACCCCCTGCTCCTCAAAATCTGTGGCCTCTGAGCCCCAGACCAAAGGCTTTGGGGGCACCTACACCCAGGGCTCCTGCTTGGACCCCTCTCCGAGGGGAAGATATGCTCCCTCACCCCTCCTTCCTGTCACCAGGTCACGCTGGCCCATCTTCTGCCATCTTGGACCCACCTGTTGCTCACCGGGCCTCTGCACCAACCCAGCCTCCCCACTCAACAGCAGGGAGTCTTTCCCACACCTGGCACCAACCTGCCCCCTCCCTTGCTGAATAAACCCCAGGACCCCCATCTGCTCTGCTCCTAACCCATTCCTATCCCAGCCCCACATCACTTCCTCCACCCTCATCCCAAATGAAGTCACCTTTCCAGGGGTCAGCTAGGTAAGGACCATCTTCCCCATTTACAGAAAAGGCAGCTGAGGTGAGGGGACTGCTGAGGTCACATACTCGGAGCTGGGGTCTGGGCCTGCCAAGGCCCCACCTGCCACACAATGCTGCCCCACCTGGGCTGGTGGTCAGGGGCTTCCTGTGAGCCAGAGGCTCACGGGCCTCCTGTCCATCTCCCCTCGGCCCATGTTCAGCCCAGAAACAGTCCCTCCTGAGGTGTACTGCTTCTCGGCCCACAGCCAGGGGCCTTGGCATGGGGCCTGCCTCGTGTAGGGAGGCCAGCACAGGCTGGGTCTGCTTACCTGTCTCTGGGCGGCAGCCCCAAGGTGGACCTGACAGAACTTCACAGCCTGCTCCAGTGCAGCCTCCTCGTCCACCTAAGCAAGGAGATGCTCCAAGTCAAAGGGCCAGGCCATGGTGGCTGGCCTTCTCCCAGCCCCTGGAGTATGAGGACCAGCTCCTCTGAAGATCCCCTGACACTCCAGTCCTGCTGGAGCATGGCAGGAGCACACATCTATCTCCCGGGTCCATCCTCCAGGGCCACTGCTGTGGGCCGGGCTGGTCCTGTCAAGTTCATGTCTGGAACCAGGTTATTGAGTCCTCAGGGGCTGAGGCTGGCAGAATCTGAGCCAGAGCCTGTCCACAAGCGAGCACGATGCAGGGCCTTTCAGAGTCTGAGGTCTGGGTGGGGGGCAAGGTCTAAATGACCCAGAGACCAACAGCCCAAGGTGCAGGGGGATGAGAAGGAGGCTAGGGAGGCACAGGGGGCCGCCGTGGTGGACCAATGGGCAGGGAAGGAGGGAGAAGGGCTGGAGTGTCAGGAGCACCCAGGCCGGGGCAGGTAGGGTGGGGAATGGTCCTCCCTGACAAGCAGGGAGTGCTGAGCTGGGTTCTTCCTAATGTGTCAGTAACAGAAACAAAGAAAGGTTAATCCTGGATGCCAGTGAGGGGGTGATAAAACAGGCGCTCTCAAAAGCGTCACTGTAAACAGACACAATCTGGGAAGAAATCGCTTATCAGGACAGGCAACCAGACTGAAGCAGCCATTGCAGTTCCGGGTCTCTTCCTGTGGAAATCCATTTTTTGAGAGAGACAGCGAGTGAGCAGGGAAGGGGCAGAGAGAGAGAGGGAGACAGAGGATCCAAAGCGGGCTCTGCGCTGACAGCAGAAAGCCTGATGCAGGGCTCGAACTCCCAAACCTTGAGATCATGACCTGAGCTGAAGTCAGACCTGCTTAACCCACTGAGCCACTGAGGTGCCCCTGGAAGGCATTTAAAAAAAAATTTTTTTTTAACGTTTATTTATTTTTGACACAGTGTGAGAGACAGAGTGCAAGCAGCAGAGGGGCAGACAGAGGGAGACACAGAATCTGAAGCGGGCTCCAGGCTCTGAGCTGTCAGCCCAGAGCCTGATGCAGGGCTCGAACTCACGAACTGTGAGATTATGACCTGAGCCGAAGTCGGACGCTCAACTGACTGAGCCACTCAGGCGCCCTTTGGAAATCATTTTAAATAAAGAAATAGCTATATGTCTAATGCATTAAAAAAAAAAAAAAAGGAAAGCAAAGTAAGAAGGGTGGCCGAGCCTCCTTACATACTCAGGGCACCACGTCACCTTCAGAGGACAGCCACGAAGGTCTCTGAGGAAGTGCCCCAGAGACTGGCACTGTGTGTGTTTGGGGTTGGGGGGGGGGGTGGCTGTCAGGGGTCTCTTCTCCCTGTGTTGGATTTGATAAGGTTTTGTTTCCTTTACAGTTGAAAATAGAGTTTTTCCAAGCTCACCGTTTTTCCTTTTCTTTTCTTTTTATATATTTTCCCCAGCTTTTTTGAAATACAGTTGATAAAATCACCCCGTACTTAAAGCGTGCAACATGATGGCCGGACCTGCTTCTTGTTTTTCGGACTCTAAATCTATGGCCTGCTCATGGTAGAAAACCTCAAATGTAGGGAAATGAACAGCACAGGTGGGGTGGGAATGACACCTAACAAACACCCCGAAGGGCCCTCACACTCCTGGACCAGCCGGGAAGGACCTTCCGTGAGAACCACCAGGCCTGGCCCGTGGCCACCCACCTGCTTGATGAGCATGTAGGTCTCAGACATGATCCTCTCGATGCGGCCCAGGTCGTAGGCCATGCCCTTCTGGCCCTGCTGCCACACTCGGTAGGCGTCCAGCAGGAGCGTCTTGCCCGACTCTGTGTCCTCTAGGAGCTTCCTCTTCCTGCTGGGCCGTGTGGGTGGCTCCTCGGGGTGACTGCCCACTCTGGCCCCGGTGGTGGCAGCAGGGGTGGTGGCTGGGGCTGGCTGGGCTGGTGTGAGCGGGCTGGGCTGCTGGCGGGCACTGATGCTCAGCTCCTCCAGAGACAGCTCAGTGGGCCGGCTCTCGGGGCCCCGGTCCCTGGGGGGTCGGCCTGGCTGCGGGGGCGGCGCCCGTTCGGAGTCTGAGCAGCGAGTGGTGGCCTCACCCGTGTCCATGGGCTCGGTAGGCCCTGCCCGGGGGCTCTCCCTGTCTTTTCGCTCCCCAGACTGGTCTGCACTGTCTCCTGCCTCCATGGCCACGGGCCGGTGGTTGAGGGGGCCCACTTTGCCCCCTGGCTCGCCTGCTGGCCCTGAGCCATCAGCCAGAGGGGGCTTCTTGGAGTGGGGGAGGGCCTCTTGACTGTCCTCAGGACTGGCCTTGTGGGGGACGTCGGTGGTCATCCTGCCTCCAGGGAGGCCACAGGCCTTGGGCCCTGGGCGTTCTGACCCCTACGAGAAAACCAAAGGTGAAAGACTGTCTTTGGGGCTTCTACCAGAACAAGACACCCCTGGGTGTCAGGTGTGCCCACCCCAGGCCACCCTGGCTCTCCCCGTCTGTTAGCTGGCCCAGGCTGGGCCTAAAGACCTGCCAGAGGAAGTTCTTCCCCGCTCTGCTCCTCCAGCCTTGAGAGGGACTAATGGGGCACTGTCGGTGGTACCACTCCAGAAGAATAGGCCTGGCCTGGGCTGGGCTGGCCTTCCTTGAACGTGGGCCTCAGGGAAGTCCTGGGTGTCTTACGGGGAGGTGATCCACCAGGGGCCACCAAATGTGCTTGCTGCAGAGCTAAATACTCCTGATCTGGGCTCCCTCCCACTCGCCCCTAATGCACAGTAGTCAGGGTGGAGTCTCAGGGGTGGGTGCCGCCCCGATGGCCCAGGCAGTCCTGCTGGGCAGGGGACACTGCAGCAGCACTGCCCTGGCTCAGGTCCCAGTGGCCCTAGGCTGCTAGGCTGGTGACCTAACCTCCTAGGCCTCAGGGTGCTCAGCTAGAGAGGGGGTGAGAGCTGTGCTTGCCTTGGAGGGTGAAAAGGGACCAGGTGTGCCCAGCCCACCACGAGCCCACCACCTGTGTCAATATCACAGCTGCTGTGACCCCGAGTTCAATCTGCCGGATGGGGTACACTGCTCAGGTTGCAGCCTCAGGGAGTGTTGCTATTGTCTTCCGTAACCACAAGTCCACATTTGCCAAGCGGGTCAGAGCCTCGCTAAATGTCTGCCAATCCCCCACTGTGCTGACCTTTCCCACCCAGAGAGGCAGGGTCTCTACTTCACAGGTGGGGACACAGGGACCTTCCTAATGGTGGGTAAGTGGAGGGACAGGGGCCATGGGCATACCTCTGCAAGTTCGCTCAGGGTGTCCTCCAGCACCTTCACAGTGAGGATGAAGGCCCGCTGCGCCAGGACCTGGCGGTCAGCATCTCGCAGATACTTCCTGCAGGCACGTGGGGGTGGCCAGAGAAGATGGCAGAGCCTCAGAGCCACATGGCACTAGATGGCGGCCCATGCCCTTTCCTGCCCCAAGAACACCTGCTGGTCCCTCAGCCTCCCTCCTGCCTAGGTCCACTCCCCGGAAGCCTGCCCTGAGCCTCCTCCCTGTACAACAGACACAGACTGTCCTGGGCCCTCACGGCGGGGGGGGGGGGGGGGCAGGGCCAGGCCAAGTTAGGGCTGGGGGCCTCTGGTTTCTCTCTGCAAAGACTGTGTCCCGTGTGCTCCAGGCTCCAGCTGAGGGCCCCACCCCAGCTTCTGGGGTGAATGAGACGAGAGAAGGTGAGGTGGCGCAGGCATGGGCAGCTGCTGGCCCAGTTGGGCCAGACCACATCTTCAGGGATCCCCCACAACCCCTGCAACTGCAGCTGAAGCAGATGTCCCTCGGTCCTATCTGTCCCACCCTTTCTGGCAAAGGGATCCCCGGTTACCTCTGCGGCCCAGGTCCCCCTGTTGCCTGGCCTGTTATTATTGGCCTTCACCTGGGGGACCCTGGCTATCATTTGGACACCTGTCTTCCCCACAACCTGACAGCACCCTGAAAGCCCCAAGCTGAAGGGAAGCAGGAGGAAGGAAAGGGTAGCTTGTCCACAGCCTGTGTTCACCCCAGGGTGCACAGGGCAGGGTGCTGTCTAGATACCAGGACAGAGAGGCTCCTGAAGAAAAGGGTGGGTCTAGGCTCCACAACCAGTGGAGAAATGCCCTGGGCGGATGAGGGGCTCCAGCCTGTGTGTGCACCCATGCTCTGACCCACGGCAGCACCAGCTGCCCCCATGGGGCTGACCACACACCGGGCCAGGTGGCTGCACTCACTTGCCCTGGTCCGGGGTCCGCTGCAGCATGGAGGACACCTTCAGCAGGGTGCTGTGGTCCCGGAGCTGGGCCAGCACCTTGAGCAGCAGCACAATGGAGCGGTTCATGTGCCAGGCAAAGCTGCCTGGCCGGTCGATCTCGTCCACGGGGATCCGCCAGATGCCCTGTGAAATGGACAGAGGCGGGCGTGTGAGGTGGGCTGCTGCACCTGGAGCCTGCCATGATACCACAGGGGACTCTGCCCAATCCAGGGTGCCTCAGACCCCTCTTGCTATCCCAAGGGAAGTGGGAGCGTGGTCACCCCCATCTACTTCCCTCCACGGATGGTGGCAAAGAATACACGCATTACTCTGCACTCTCCTCTTCTGAATGGCTGCAAGGTATGTGTTTACTTGTTCTGTTCCCTACAGGAAGCACACAGGCTGTGTCCCCTCAGTTAAATGCAACCAGTGGGAGAAGTCTAGTGCCTCTGCGCCTCTGCACAGGTGCTGACTCAGCCATGAGACCAATTCCTAGAGCTGAACTGATGGGTCAAAAGGTGGCCAACGTGAACTTCTGGCAGCTGCTGCTGGCCAGGCACGCTCAAGCCTGGGCCCCACCCGTGTGCATTCCCTTCAGCGGCACCCAGAGAATGGAGGGCTGGGCTGAAAATGACCTGCAGCTTGCTGGATGCCCAGGTTTCCTTGAACCCGCCTTTGTGCAGTGTATGCTGTGGCCAGGACCCCCTCCTCCACTTCTCAGCCATCCAACCTCACTGTCTGAAGGCTGCGCTGGAGCAGGGCCAGCTCTAAGGATACCCGCCACGGTCTCCCTCGGCCCGTGTTTAGCCCACCCCTGCACCTGGCACCCTGCTCATCGGCAGCTCCATGTCTGGTTCCCTGTGGCATCCCCACACCCAGCATGGTATCTGAGACACACTCGGGTCCAGTCCAGGCGTAGTGAAGGAAAGGATGACCAAGGGAGTGAATTATAAGTGAACAGAAGCTCATACCTTCTGAGCAGGCCTGAGGCTGCAGGACCTGGACATTAGGATTTATGTCTCTGGGGCAGGACTTTGGGGACCTGGAAGGAGCAGGCAGGCTCACATGTGGCTTCCTGAAGCCAACACCCTAGAGAAATTCCTGCCCAGAAATTCCTGCCCAGACCAGGGCTGTGGGCAATGCTGCCTCCTGCACCCGGGGCCCACAGAAGGGTACCCAGGGAGTGCCCTTCCCAGGGCTCTATTCCCGTGGGTGCTCAGTGACTAACTCCCGGCTCCAGCAGTCCCGGGAAGAAAACCAGGGCACCTCCAGCCCTGAGCCACTTAAGCAAGAGAGGAGCCTAAAACCTGCAACTCCAAGCCCCCAGAGCCTCCACACTGGGTCACTGGGCTCACACCGGGCGCAGAGAACTGCTCCCCCCACCCCCTGAGCAGGCCGGGGCACTGTGTGAAGGCTGGCAACTACTCTTTATCCCAGGCAGTACCAAATAAGGCACCAGCTGCCTCCCGGCCTAGACAAAACCAGGAGGCTGAGGCCACCCACATCTAGGGCACTGATACCAACGCTGTATCTTCCCACTGGGCACAGGTGGCTTCTGCAGCAGCTCAGGAAAAGCTGCCACTTGAGAGGACGAGGGGCAGCTTTGGACAGCTGTCTGGCCAGTGTGTCCCTGACACTATACCCCAGATGTGTGGCAGGGGCTGGGAGGTGCCCTCTCTGTTGTCCACCAGACCCACCAGGCTGAAGAAGAGCTTGGTTCTTTCTCCCGAGGCACTGCAGACGTCACCATGCTCTGCATCATAGGCTGACACAGCTATGTCATCATGACATCGTGACATCTCTATGTCACGGAGATGAGGAGCAACTCCCTCAGGGTCACACAGCATGAGAGGCAGTCCCACAGTTGGCCCCTCACCACCACAACTGCTCTGAGCACAGGCTGGACCAGCCAACCAGCTCAGAAGGAAGCCTCCATCACCTGCTCTGGCCCTCCACCCCTGGCCCCCAGCTCCTTCCTGCACCTAACAGGAGAGGGGGAGAGTTGGAAGCACAGTCCCACCACATGCCACGACATTGCAGGTGTGCACCAGAGCCGGCCCAGGGTCAAGCCAGAGATCTGGGTGTGACCCCACTGCTCCCGGATCTCACTCTTCCTTAGGGCACAAGAGGGGCATGCTCTGCTCTGCACCCTCAACCCACAAGGGTCCAGGATGACCCTGGATTTCACTGAATGCCTCCCTCTTCCCTGGCAAAACCTCTGAAGACTCAAAGAACAATCAGCGGTCACTCCTCCCAGTGCACCTTGATCCGGGCTCAGAAGGTCTCTCCCAGCTGCCTGATGAGCAGCTAAGGGTGGAAGGTCCCCTGGTCTCCTTGGGGGAGCCACTGGGGAGGATGAATGGAAGACTCACACTTCTTCCTTCAAATCGTGTTTGGGGGTGGCTGTGTGAGGACAGAGGTGCTGACTTTTCTGGCCCCTCCCCTGGGAAAGTGGCCCTGTTCCTCCCATGTCACCTCTGCCAGGGACTCGGGGTGAGCCTGGCTGTGAGGTGGGCAGAAGCAAGTGTCACGGGGGCCTCAGACATGGCGCCAAAGCCTCAGGAGGCTCCAGGCACTTGGGGTGCTTGGGCCCCAATGCCTGGCCCCACAACACACCTGGTGGGCACCAGCTTCAGCCTGTACATCTCAGGAGCTTACCACCTCTGGAGGTGGCCCGTTTCATCCTTGGTAGATTGTTAGAAAAGGTTTCTTCACACTGTGCTGGATCCCCAGGCTGTCCCTGCACCCCTGCCCCTCCCTGGCACCCAAGCCTGCACCTTATGCCCCTAACATTCCTACTCCGGCTCGAGCCTCATCTTGCCTCTTCCTTCGACTCTTGCTCCCCATTCGTCCACCCGGCCTGGGCCAGGACAAGTTAAGAAAAGGATGGTGTGGCCGCATCCCTCGCTGCTTATATCCTTGACAAGGCAGCTCCTTTATCTACCTCAGCGGAAACCTAAGCCTCACTGGCCTTTGCCCCATCCCTGGACTCGGGACACTCACCATGCCCCCTCATAGAGCCGTGAATTTTACCCTTCTCACTTTTTCAGGCGCCCTCTCACTTCCTCTGCCCAGCCAGTTTTCCTGTGTCCTCCCAAGCCTGGCTGTGAGGTCATCTCCTCTCTGAAGCCCTCCTGGCTTGCTGCCCTCCTAAGCCTCTGCCAGGACCACTTGGGGGCAGCCCCTCAGATGGTCAGGGGGTGGTGGGCCGGTGGCTAGGAACGTGTCCTAAGTGGGGGCAGGTGTGCTTCAGCTCCAGGTCCCCAGGGGCCCGACACAAAGCTGGCAGAGGCAAGGAGCCCAGCTTGAGAAGGGCTTCCTGCTCGCAGAGAAGCCCAGCTCACCCACCTCCCCACCAGTCCCTCACCCTGGAGATTTTCCAGGCTAAGTGGGAAACAATTCTGCTCCCAGGGAAATGAATGCCCTTCAGAGCTCTGGGTGTGCACATGAGCCCTGCACTGGGGGGTGGGGGTGGGGGTGGGGGGTGGCGGCACACCTCCTTGCAAAAGGCAATGATGGCGAGTCAGCAACACGCTCCCTGAGGGCTGGCAGGACTTTGGGCTGCTCAGGGGCATATCCGGCCAAGCTCCTGGTGGGGCAAGAGCTAGCTCTCCTCTCTCCCCTGAAAAAGAAGAGGCTGAGAAAGCGATGCCAGAGGTAAAACACATTTGGCCCTCTGCAGGGTGGACCAGGTAGCCACAGCAGACTTGGCAGAAGGTGGGAGGGTGTGGATAGGGCCCCTGCAGAGAGGGGATCCCAAATTCCCGCTCTTGCTCCCAAGTTCTGGAATCAAAGACACAGGGCATTTACCTGTTTGGTGTCTCTTTTGGAGAAGGGATGGGATGTGCCAAAACGGGCCAGTGAGCATGCTGAGGAAACCACTCTGGAGGGCCCACCAAGCCACCCCCTGAAGTGGGCCAGCCTGGGACTGTGAGGGGTAGGTAGCCTGGCACCGGTGGTAGCCACCAGCAAGCAGATGAAGGCGGGGGCTGAAGCAAGGCAATGCCTCAGATGAGACGCCTTCTGGATGCACAGCGATGGGAGGGTCTGCCTACCACCCGCTCCCTGTCACGCCATGGCGCCACTGGCCTGCCTGTCTCACCCTCTGGGACCGCCCTCCCCACCCCTGCCGTTCCTCCTGCACCCGGTTCCTGATTCCCGGGATGCTGCTTCCAGCCGGCACTGACAAATCCAGTGGCATCTGAGTTATACAATCATGGACATTTTAAAGCACACTCAGCTGGCTGAAACTGCTTATTGTGGAGGTGGGAACCGGAGGCCCACTGAGGGGCAGCGAGCGCCCAGCCACGCTGCTGGATGGTAGCCAAGCCCGGAGTGCATGTGGATTCCCTCCTCACGTCTGGGGCCAGTGGGCCACTTTCCACCGGAGCCACTCTGCACCAGCTAGGCACATCTGTGGGGATCACTCTGGGAGGAGACGAGGGTTCCTATGCTCAGGAGCCAGACTCCCAAACAGCTTTCGGCCAATCCCTGAGGACGGACAGAGGGACAGGGCTCTGGACGCACCCCCTGAGGATAGGTCTACTCTGTACCACACGTTTCAGAGCATGGTTTGGATCCTTTTACATGAGGGTTCTCTGTTAACCCATTCCTTTCCAGATATGCGCACACAGCCGTAACATACCACCAGCTATTTCGGAAAGGAAGACCAAACACATCAGGCAGAGTCCACGGAAAATAAGGAGGGAACTACAGGCACCATAAGCCCTGGGGAGGTTCCTGCAGACATGCAGCTAGCCTCCAGGGACAGCTGGCCCGAGGGCGTGGAGCCACCAGGCAGAGTCTTAAGCTGGCAGGATGGCAAGCAAGCCAAGGCTCTGCCTTCTGCCTGAGCAGGCAGCGCTGGGCTTCTGTGTTTGCAGCCAGAGCCCCCACGATACCAGCAGCCCCAAGACAAGTGGAACACTTCCCACCCTGCTACAGAGGGGAAGAAGACAAAGCACACCCCCACGTACTGCCCCTCAGGGAACGACAGCCTTGCCAGGCTGTGCCTAGGGAGGGCTATGAAGCCCCTAAGAAAACCGGGGAGATCCCAGGGAGGGGAATGCACTGGGAAAGGGATGTCTGCACACTGGCGGAAGGGGCACAGTCAGGCTCCACCTGCAGCAGCAGAGGCCACAAGC